GAAATTCCTTTAAAAATTCGTCAAGCGAGTTTCTCACTCGCTTAATATTTAAGATCATTAGGAGCAATTTTTAGAACTTCTCTCCACATGTGAGACACTTATATTTCTCTAACTTTCAAATAGAATGCTCTCACTCGACAAGAGATTCCCTTGCCCAACAAAAGGAGCTTCCCCATGCATCCTTGACATTGCGAATTATGTTATCGCTCAACGAGTAAATTACTCACTCATCGAGTCTATATAAATCATAACTTGTATCATAATTGTAAATCTATTTGATTGACCTCAACATGTATTTTTCTTTCCTCATACTAGCCAAAGAAGCCTTAACCAATTCAAAATATACCAATTGAAATCAATTGAGCCAGATTTATAAATCCTTGAAACAAACCCGAGATAAACATCAATTTTACCTAAATAATCAATTTAACCCTTTCATTGAGTTTATATAATTCAACCTCTCTTAATAAAAACATCAACAACAATCTCACTCAAAAATAAAATAAATTTTAAATATATGTTTTTCCTTACTTAAATATAACACAAAGTCTCTGGCACTCTTAATAATAAAGAAAACCATCTCTGCATAAAGAAAGATGAATGATATAATTACATCTTAACAATTCTAATTGAACAAAGATTCATTTTGAATTATTAAATTATATATACAAATTTTAAAGACTATACATACAACCCAAAAACTAAAAGACTCTAAATTTTTTTACTATTTTTTAGAAAAATAATAATTTTATATGATGAAATTCGATTTAACTTATTTTTATTTATGTTTTAATTTTTTAATAATAAAATAATCCATCACCTGTAAGGGCCTGAAAAATATAAGGCCATTGGGCCTTATGAGAGGCAGTCAGACCCATCAGACTCAGGTCAACCTAACCTTAGGAAGGGCTCCTCAGAATTTTTACTCTTTTCCTGAACTCTCTTTTCTCTCTCTCTCTGAGACTCTTTGCCCTAAAATCTTCTCTTCCTTCTCTCTAGATTTCCAGCTCACTGAACCGTTCAATCTTGAGTTGGAAGGTGCTCAGACGTTCACCACACCGAAGGCTTCCTTTTGAACCGATCGTATTTTCGATTGGACCGGTAAGTCGTTTCCCTTCTCCTTCTCTATCTTAGAACCTAGGGCATGCAACGTTACTGGTTGCATGTTACTAGTGGGGTTTTGTTTTCATACTTTCTGCCAAATCAAGCTCTAAGAGCTGTTGTTGTCACCACTTTGGTGGTTTGTAGGGTTTGGTTGAGTTCTCGTTGTATGAGATACCGTAAAGGGACGTTCTTGTGAGCTTGGTAGTTCAACTCTAAGGTAAGGGGAGCTAGTTATGTTTTGTTTGAACTGTATTATGTGTATGTTTGATAATTTGTGATTATTTACTGTTAAGTTATATTTTTAGTGGGAACATGTTGAATTGCATCTGCTGAATGTGTGAAAGTTGTGTAACCATGGTGTGCTGAACATTGTTTGACTTGGATGAGTTTGTTGGCTGTAATGGATTTCTGGTTGGGAGTAAGAACTTTGTAAAATAGTCAATATGCATAGTAGGTGGGTGTACAGGTACTACTTTAGGTTAATGTGAGGGGAAGTGATGCATTGGAATGGGGCAATTGGAGGCTAGGACACCATAGGACAGTTTGGATGACTTAGATAAATTAATTGTGGCTTGTTGAGAGTACTTTGTTGGTAGGATACAGGAACCTTAAAAACCTGAGTTGGCACATCCCTGACCATAGAGCAGCCCTGGTCTAACTTAGTCAGTTGTGACTAGTCATATGTGCTGGCGTCGAAGGTGAGTTTGATGTGTTCAGACATCGGGTTCTTCTTCGATGACCAAATTGGGCAGTTTGGCTAGCTTGGTTGAGTCAATTAGAACTGGATAGGGTCATAAAACTGAGTAAAGTCATGTGCAACATGGTAGAATTGAAATTGGGTTCTTAGGTTAATAAAATTGGAGTTTAAGTTAAAAGTTAGGTATTGATTACTTTATAATCATGTTAATAACACTTTATGGGCACCTAGACAAGTTTAACTAGGTACAAAATATGAATTAGAGGTATTAGAAGTTGGAGGAAAGGCCTAGAAGTGGTAAGGAGTGGGTGAGTGGGTAATTATGCAGAAATTACGTTCTGCAGATTATGCAGAGTCGCTATGCGAGACTGTCTTGGTCACTTGCTGTGCGAGCTTATGCGCTGTGCGAATTACCAGAGAGTATTGCTTTCTGTCTATCGATCCGCATAGCGAATCTAGTCGCTGTGCGATTGGTGAGGGTCTGGAACAATTCTTATTTTAATTCGAAGTGCGAGATGGGCGCATAGCGAGACGTTTTGGGGTGTGTTCTCTGTCTACGCTCTCGCATAGTGACTTGGGTGCGCTATGCGAGAGGACCTGAGACCTGTAGTCTCAGCGAGTTAATTCGCATAGCGAATTAACTGGGTGCGTTATGCGAGACTCACTAGTCTCGCCTTGTGAGTAGGGGTGCGCTGTGCGATTCCTTTTGGGTCAAGTCTCTTCTTTTGTTTTCCTTTGATTGAATCCAGTGTGTGGAATGCATAGTATGATATGATCATGTGATTATGTTAGAGGTATGCGAGTGTATGAGATATGTGTGGATTCATTGTGATAATATGATGGTAATTGGTTATTTATGTCTTGAGTTAAATTTCAAAGTGATAGTATGGTTCATGGACGTAATTCCATGATCCTTAAGGAGAGGATACATGGTGGTGCCCTAGTAGTATGTAGAATGATTGCATGGCAGCTTAGTCTTCGGGATTTTCTTGAAACTACAATGATCAATCATTCTTAAGTAGAGAGGATTGAATCATGTTGTGAGTAGTAGCAGGAGGTCCTAGTCTTGGAGGCTTCCAGTATGCTCCAGGGCGCGGAACGGACTAACCTCGTGAGTGTGGTAGGGTGGAACCCATTGGCAACAGCTTTGCAAAGCATTAGAGGCCACCATGAGTGCATAACCCGCCATAGCTCGGTAATCATTCTAGTCCAGACAAGTCGGTTTATAAAGCAACAAGTCTTGTGATGATATTTTACCATGTTTTGAGTGAATTTTGCATGCCGTGTGTGATTGAATAACATGCTTTTTATACCTAGCTCATCCTTGCTTGTTTGTGTTGCTTGTGTATGTTTCTTTTGCGATAATCATCCACTTGGATGTGAGCAGATGATGAGGAAGTTCTTTTGGAGACAACTTTGGAAGATGAGGATAATGCTGCTGCTTAGTCTCCTTAGGGTCTTATTAGTTATTTCCTGTATTTTGATGTACTTTTCCTTTTTAAGCTTCTAATTTAGACTTTATTTTATTTAACTGTAAATTCTGGAGTTACTTTGAGAATGATTGTAATTATAATTAGTCTTGATTGCTTTCCTATATTATGTATGATGACATCTTTATTTTATATGCTTTTCTATATAATTTGGATGTCACATCACCTATTATAAAAACAATCTATAAAGTTTTTTAACTCTGTGATAATGTGTTGGATGTATGTATGAGCAAAAATTCAAATTTGTAGTTTCTTTCTTAAAATGTTATTCTACAAATTTGAAAATGCTCAATTTATAATAATTATTTTTTTTTTAGATTTTTTCTCTTTCAACTTCATAAAGAGAAAAATCACTTTAAAAAATCACTTTGAAAAATCACTTTATCATTATTTATGAAATGATAAAGAAAAATCACTTTAAAAAATACTTGATTAATAAATAAATAATAAAACTAATGATTCTTTAAAAATCTTCTTATACAATTACAAATTTTCCTTTAAATGAATTAATGAACTTACAAACACTTTTCAACATATCTATTCAAACAAAAATATGATTTTGATTATAATCAATTATAACAATAATTAATTATACATTTAATCACCTATTAAAATAAATTATTTTCATAAACATACAGTAAATTATCCATTTAGACATAAAATTATGACTTGCTATTAAATTTGTCTCTAAACTAAGAAAAAACTCAAAATAATTCGTGAATTTTTTAATGTTTTATTTAACTTCCTTAACTTACTATTTTCTGTGCATTTTGTTTTTGTCTATACACATATTGTTATCATTTAAGACTGCAAATTACGATAAAATGACAAAGATATTAATTCTAGGACTTACTTTGATTTTCTACAACAACAGTAGTGAAACATGATTTTATTAATGACTATTATCTATATTATTTTTTTTTCTATAAAAATAACTATTTAAAACTTTATTAATAACTATTTATCTCAAATAACACGAGTGACCATTTTTAATATCATATCAGTCCACTTACCATCGTTTTTTATACTCAATACTCAAACCTGATTTACTTGCTAATAACATTTTTATTTTCATATAATGCATAACTCATAAATTAACGAATAAAATGTTAATATTAGTGATTCTACACTTCGTATTATTAGTTATATATGAACTCAAAATTATTGATACTTCATTATAAAACTGTTTAGTGAAAGTGAATTTGATTGTTTATTAGATAAAAGTTACATCTTGCTAAGAAAATGACCAAGTCTATATTTTTCTAGGACTATTTAAAACGGAATTGAATTGAAAATGAGTGAAAGAAAATAAAATAATATTTTTTTCTATAGTTTGGTTGTGATGAAAATGAAAAGAAAATAATACAAATTATGTGAGATCCACATAAAACTTGTTTCTCTCCAAAATCTAGTGTGAAATGGGATGGATTCTCTCTCTAGCAGCAACAAGAATTGTTAAATTAAAAACATATTTGAACACAAATATATTGATATTATATTTATAATTGAATATTTGTTTTTTAATTTTCATTAAATATTTTTATATATTTAATATTTTCCACATCTTTTTTTCAATTTATCGAAATAAATGGAGGTAAATTTTGTCATCTATTTCTATTTTATTAATATTAATCTAAATAATAAATACAATTTTAATAAAAACAAAAAATGAATAAAAGAGAAAATGACAAGCATAGCACGCAGATAGAGATAACAAAACAGCGTAACCCACGAGGGTGGGGAAGAAGGAAAAAAAACACCACACCAACCAAACCATCAGAACAGGCACCGCCAATCGGAAGAAGAAAAGTGGCAGAAGAGTGAGAACTGCAACGGTGGGCCATGGCGATGCGCGACCTCGTTTCGGGTGCTGCCGCTTGCGGTGACTCTTCTTCTTCCTCCGCTAATCCTCTTGCCTCTCTAGCCAACGCTCTTGTTGGCTCTTCCTCCAAAACTCAGGTCTTAGTTTCTCCTCTTTCTATCTTACTCTTTCTTCACTCATCGCTGATTTCGATTTTTTGGTCGCAAAACTATCACAGGAGAGGCTGAAGGAGATTCCGACGTCCACTCCTACTGACCCTACCTCTCAATTTTACTCCACTGCTCTTCCCGTCAATCATCTTCCCGGCTCCGAATTCGATAAGCCTCTATTGGATGCAAACTCTCAGGTTCGGTTTGGATTGGATTCTTGTGTCTGTGATTGTTTGTGCCGTGTGTGTGTTTGTTATAATGTTATATCATGTCATACTTCTCAATAATGAGTGATTTGAGTTTTTGTAATTGTTTTTTTGACCGAAAACAGGCTTCGGAGTTTTTGCATAGGTTCCGTGGCGCGAATGGGATGGAAGAGACGTGGGATGAGATACAGCGTGAGGCCGGGGTTGCCGGACCGCGGCAACTGGTGCCGGCGATTCAACAGCAGCTATTGGATGGTAGGTTGTGTTTGGATTGGTCCAGGGGATTGTTTGGTGTGAGAAAATGTTTTCTGTTTTCATTTTGTTGGCTTTCAATAGGTTGTGCAAGATTAAGTGAAGACAGGTTTTTATGTTTTTACTGTTTGTCTTCCTTTTCCTTAATGAACTTTAGGAAACAGAAAATGAAGTGAAAACAGAGAATAAAATCAGAAAACGTTCTTTCAGACATGAGTGCCACCTGCCAAATTAAGAGCGTTGTTCATTCAATAAGGACTGGACAGTTTTTGTGATTTTCAGCTAATTTCGTCCAGCAGGGGAAAAGAATGTGTTAGATAGTGTTGGTAGTGTTTCTCATGAACGAAATTAAGTGATTTTTTTTTTACCGTTTCTGTTTCTAATTGTGTTCTTTTTTCCTGTATAAACTTTAGAAAACATAGAATGGAGTGAAAATGGAAAATATAAACCGAAAATGTTTTCTTGAACAAAACAGCTCTTATTAGAAAATAATTTTACCGTGGCTGTTTTAAATTGCATTCTTTTTTCCTTTATAGATTCTAGAAAACAGAAAATAAAGTGAAAATACAATTTATAAACATCCTCTTAGAAAATAATGTTATTCTTTTGACTTGCCATGCTCTGGTTGTTGTGTATGGTGTTTCCTGTTGTGGGCTGTAGTAGAGGTGTTGTAATTAGTGGTGGTTGTACCGTGGACTTGATTTTTTTATTTGAATGCATTGAGAACTGAGCACAGAAGAAGAGGTGTGGAGTTGATGTTGTTTTCTCTGCAGGGACACCACAAAGAGTTCTATCGAGTTTTTTGCACTCATTTCTTGATAGCAGCCGTGGTGGAGTGCCTTTTCATCCTACCCCTCTTCCGATGCTGGGTTTATCTGAAGGTGATAAACAATGCATACGAGACCGTAGCAGCATAATGGCCAGGCATCTTTTTGCAGATAAAAGTGAAGAATTTATTGATGCACAAGTAAGGGAATTCATGAATACATTCATCAGGTTTCACTTAGTTTAGTCGTAGTCGTTGAGGGAAAAGAGTAACAGAAAAAACTTAGTTGTTTGTGTATTAGAGATTTAGACTTCAATATTTGATTACTGATAAAGGGGCAAGGATGATTACCTAGGCTCTGGTGTAATTGCTCAAGATGTTCTTCCCATGTAACCTACCTTTGAGTTTCGCTAAAATGATTTTATTTATTTTTTGGTTGATAATTAATCCTGGATGATATTATATGGGCTTGGGAGTTGCTCATATACCATAGCGGTTTCTTCATACACGTTGGTTGACCTTTTATTTTATTGAGTCAAATGTCAATCAGCATCACTTCGTTCTTAAGTTATATCTTCACCAAAGTTTTACTTAAAATTAGAAAAGCTCTTCCTCTAGAGTGTGCCAATCTTTCCCTTTATAAAGCATGTGCAGTGATATGTATTCTATCTACATGTGATTAGTAATGATTTCTACCAGATATTTTGCTTCATTATCTTAAAAAAAAAATGTTTTTGCCTATATTCTTTTTCTTGATTGTTTGACTCTGAGCTCACCATATGTAACTACTTTTCAGGTAAATGCACTTCTATGCTCTCTAGATATTGATAGCAATGTCCGTGGTAAGGGACCTATGCCTGAAAGATTTCGGGAGCTTGAGGATTACTGGAATGAATCTCAAGGCAATATGAGACCTGGTCCTCCTGCTGCAGACGGGTGGATTACTGAATTTAGTCAACATAGGGGAAAATATGATAATCCTGATTCATGGGCTAACTCCTTTGAGCAACAACATGGTGCAAATGGTTGGGCGTCTGAATTTGAACACGTGAGAAGTTTTTATTGTTCTATTTATAGCCATAATATGAAGTTAATTACACTTTTTATGTGCAAATTATATTAGTATTGTGCCTATTAATAATGAAATTGAAATCTTTGAACTTTATTGAGGAGACTTGTACTTATTTGTCTGATGATGCAAACATTAAGGATTTATTCTCTTATCTATGCTTCAAGGTTGTATACAGTCTGAAAATGTTACTTCCAATACCCATTTTTGGTCAATTCACGGAATCTCCTAAACAACTTCATCATATACTTAGTCAGTGGAAATTACTTCCTGAGCATCACTTCCAAGTTCTAATTTTAGATTTTCCTGGGCTATCATGATGCTTCTACAGCTTTTTCTTCCATTGTAGCTCTATTCCTCTAAAATTCAGTTTCACCATCCTACATTTTTTTTCTGTCGACGGGCTTTCTTGCCAAATAATTTTCTTAAGTTTGATGCAATGTCCTATTTCTTCATTGGTGTCGTTGTTGGCATCCATCACCTGTAGCACACATATCAAGAGGAAAGTGCAATTTGAGGAATGACTTCAGAATATCTGGCTGCTTTATTTCTTTTCTGTTTTGAGATTATTATAATTTCAATTAGAATATCCAAAACAAATAGAACCCAAATAAACAGGTTATGAAAGAACATATAACTAAAAAATGAAGGGATGCATCATATCTTGTTTTATAGAACGTGTCTTTGATGCAATGCCTTCTTTCTTCGCTGGTATTGATGTTGGTGACACTGGGCTTGGATTATACTGGTACTTGTAGAAAATAATCAATTTTTCGTTGGACCTGACTATAAATTGTTATTTGTAAGTCATTTCTTATTTTAAGATATTTTCTCTTGCAATCATTTTGCAGTCCCAATTGTCATCAGTAGGTCAAATGCAAGGTATGAACATGTCAAACTTTGCTGCAATGGAACAGACTCGTATGCTTGCAAATACATTGGCCCAAAATGGTGATCCTAAATTTCAGGTTTCTCTGCTACACATGACTTTAATATTTCCAATGTAGTACATCAAAATATGAGACAGTAGTTCATTAGTTTGTGTTTTTGCTAATTTACACGCCCTTATCATTTTGTTCTTTTTTGAGAACCAAGATAACTAAAACAGAAATTTGGGAGAAATGTTTATACATTAATCCCTTAATGGGTAATTGTTTACTCTTGGAAACTTCGGGATGTATGGTCATTGTGTTCCTTAGCCTTAATTTCAGGTGCTCTCTACACAATTTTTTGGTCTTGCACAATGATAGAACTTGGTTATTATGGGGATGTCTATATCCCACATCGAGTAATATGGGATGGTTGATGAAGTATTTAAGTGCTTAGCTCTTTCCTTCACTAGCTAGCTTTTGAGGGTGCCCCAAGTGTTTGGGTATTTACCACACATTCTCCATCTGTCTCTCACATTAAAATGCATTTGATTGCTCACTTACATTCAAATGCATTTGATTTCTCACTTATATTCAATTTATTCAGTATAATATTTACAGGATGGGAAAGATCATTTGGTGCTTCTGGAAGCGGGACATGATTCTAGACTCTAGGCCACTTAGGATAACATGAGTTTTTGGAATAGTATTGACAATGATCTCTCATTGATTTTATAATGGGCGATAATTATTCTTAAAATATTTTTGATTTTTTTTAAAATATTAACAGGAGTAACGTTTGGGAATAATATTCAAGTGATGCTGATATTTGATCTTTCGGCCTGTAATGTGTGGGAATTCATATGTTAATATTTACTGTGATCCCTCGTTGATTTTATGATTATTTTCAAACTTTTAAACATATTAACAAGAGTATGTGTGGGAATAGTATTCTGGTGATGCTGATATTTGATTTTTAGGCCCAGAATGTAATGCTGAGATGGGTATCTCAGCCATCACGAGTTCTTTGACATGGAATGGTGTTCTTGGTCTCCTTCTGTGTTAAAGCTTATACTTGTGTCTGGTATTTTCATTGTTGTTTTTCAAAGGTTCTGTGTAGGTTTTGAGTTAATACCTTGCATTTTTCTTATTGTTATATTCTATTGTGCTTTGGTTGCATTAGAAATATGCGGTTTTTTTTTTATAGATTATTCAGTTATTTAAAAATCAGGAAAAGGGAGATGACAAGATTGTGAAGGGACAAACTGTGTAAAATATTGATTATACAGATTGTCCGGGCTATGCCACAATGTTTTATTGAAGGATATCCTTGAAAGCCCTATGGATGTAATAAACAACTTTCTGATTAATATTGATGAACTTATCTTTTCTGCACTATAACATTCATGTGCCCTTGTTAAGAAGAGTGTTTTATTTTGTTGTTGCATTTCTTTCCCTCCTTAAAAATAAAATAAAATCAATTACATGCTTTTGTGCTATGCAGAACTCAAAATTCCTTCAATTTGTGTCGAAGATGAGCCGTGGTGAGTTAATTATTGATGACAATCAGGTCAAAGAGAATTCATTACCTGCATCTGGAGATTGGGCAACAGAATATGATCAACAATATAATCGTGGTCATGCATGGGCTGGAGAATATTTAAATGATAAGGCATGTCCATTGAGCATGGAACCATATTATTCTTTTGCAACTGTTTTATATTATTGATTGGCATATATTCCATTATAAGGCTGATATATCAAGATATAGTTTTGGTTATGGTTAACTGTATATTTGGTTATAAAACTAAATGTGAGGAGGGGACCTTCATGTAAAGACACTGAATAATAATGATATACCACATAGATCTTAATCTCTTATTATAGAATTAAAAGAGGAAATGTTCAAGTTAAGTGAAGATTAAAATACTCCTGAACAGAAGGAAGAAAATACTTAAGGTGAAAAATTGCAGCAAGGTTGTTCAGTATCTGTTAAGGACGGGAAAATCAACTCCCTTCAAGCACCCATTAGAGTGTAAGAGAGATTAAGATAACTACCCCATCCCATATTCAGTCGTGGGTTAAAGAAGAAAATGCTATCATTTCACTTCAATTGGAACCAAAGGACTGTATAAACGGTGCAATAATGCAAAATTTGACTCATTATATGTAAATATCCTTTCAAAATTCAGGGCTAGTGTTTTCATATTTAATACAAGTAAGGGAAGTTTGTATTATGAGGATAAAATGCTTAAATAAGCTGGAAAGGCTTGTAATTCAGTTTATCTTAGCTAGGTTGGGCTGGAGTTGCAGAACAAATTTTGTTATGGTGTTTGTAAGAGTTGGGAGGCTTACTTGAATTCTAGTTTCAATAAGTTGATTTCTAACTTATTAGCAATTTCTGGAGGTTAGGTTCCAGGTCTTTTTATGGTAATTTGGGTTTTTGTGGAGAAGAATATATGAATTGGATGATTTTTTTTCACTCAGATGAGGTTTTGAAGGCTTTGACTGTGAATGACAAGGATATTTCCTTGCCTATTGGTGCTTATACTTTGCCATTTGTTCAGAAAAGTTATCCAAGTTTTCTATCGAGTTCCTGAGAACTATATTCATATGGGAAGTGGATGTTAGCATGGGTTCTATGGTCTTGATCCTTGAGAGTGTTTTTTTTTTTCCAATTCTGGGACTGCTAAATTGCAGAATTATATGTATTCTTACTTGAATTACATGTATTCTTATTTATGATTGTAAGGCTGTGTGCAAACTCTGGTGCAACTGTTTGACTAGGTTGTTGGTTGTTGTTATTCCTAGACTCCATTTTACTTAATGTTTTGATGTGGGAGCCTTGGGTGCAAAGGTAAGATTGATTTGTCTGCCCTGGGTTGAATCATGAAAGCAACTTCTCTATACATAAGGGTTTGCATGCATATATTTGAACCTCCTTATACCCAAAACTGGTGGGAGATTCATGCATGAAGTCACCCTTTTATATGCATGCAACTCTGATAGATCTCACAGTCAGTTTACTTTTGACTTGATTTATTTTAAAAACAAAGTAATGAAATCATTGGTGTGCCTAGAAAATTAGGACTAATTAATTGACAATGCCTTTTCCTAAATTTTTTTAATGCTGACTTGTGGTTTCTAGGTTTATCATGGACCTGATCAGTGGGTGAATGAATATGCAACTGAAGGACGACAGCATGATACAACTGATGATCAGTGGGTTAATGAATTTTCAAAGTTGAATGTTAATGATTGGGCAGATGAATTTGGTCAGCAGTTAGGTGAAGCAGCCTTAGGAGACAGCACTTCTGATAGTTGGGCACAAGCATATGATGAGTAAGTCAAACTTTTGAACAGACTGAACTAAAATTGTTTTTTTCAACAAAAATAAATTATTTACTGGATTGAGTGACAAACAACAGATTTTGTTTTAAGTAATAAGAATATATTGAAAGAATCATAACTATGCATCATCTTGTGTACTTTTAGTTGGGGGAACTTTTATGAATAGAATTGGAAGTTGCAATTTGAAAGCTGGTTTTGGCTAATGTGTCTCTACTCTAGTATTCTGAATTGATGTTTTAATCTGGTTTTCTACTTTTCTTTATTAAGAGAAATATGTTAACTACTCTTGATTCCCTTTTCTTTGAAGCAATAGAATGCCATACCTGCCCTTGAAAATTCATATACTAGGCAGGAATGTATTTTCCTTTGCCCTTATTCTAGACTGATGTGGCATTCAGATTTCAGACAACTAAAAAATCAGAAGTGGGAGGAAGTATGTTTTTAGTAACTGTAGTACAGTTGTATGGTATGTTGTAGCAGTTTGTGTATTTCTTAAATAGGATATGTGACATTTCTGATAAACTGTGTTATATTGTTGAAGTTTGTTTGAGGGAGGAGACTCCTTGTTTGAGCTTAGGCTACTATTAGTGTTTTGGATCACATATTATACATAAGTTCCAGAATTCTTTTAATAAACTTGCTATTTTTATGTTCAAACACTTGAGTCTAATTGAGAACTGTGAGACTTTTTTTTTTCTTTTAAATATTTGGAGTGCCCCTAAATATTGAAGTTTAAGATTGAGAAAGAAACACCTTCTTTAGAGCCTAAGTAATCTGTTACTTTTCGGTTTTATTTTTATTTGAAGATTTGACTATGAACACTTGGATGGGATCTGGGAAATTATTTTGTAAAAATTATGCACCATTCAATGCTCATTTGAATCAGTGGGAACTGAATGTTGGTTTGACTTTTTGTTTTCAAAATATAGATGCTGACTAACAATATTTGTCAAACTAAATGCCCATTCTTATGGTCCATAATGAACAAAAGAATCTTGGATATTATTTAAGGTTAAGATTATTGATTGGTCTAATTTGGTTACTCAGGAGGATAACAATTCTCCTAAATGTACTTCACTTTTTTCATCAGTTAACTATTCTTTCACTAACATTAAAAAGTGGCTGTTCTTGTTCCTTTCCTATTGTGTTTTTCTCTTTTTGCTTCGGTTATGCCATATGTTTTCTCTTTAGCATAAAAGATATTACATGCCAGCGAGGGAGGTTATTGCTTTATTAATCACTATCTCTTTGGGGTTATATGAAGGTTCCTAAATGAGCAAGTTGCTTCCAAGCAGCAGTTAGACAGTTCGAGGGGTGTGTATGTCTTTTCAGATTTAAACCCTTATGTTGGCCATCCAAATCCCCTAAAAGAAGGCCAAGATCTATTCAGAAAAGGACTTTTAAGTGAAGCAGTTCTAGCATTGGAAGCGGAAGTCATAAAAAATCCTGAAAATGCTGAAGGATGGAGACTGCTTGGAATAGCACATGCAGAGAATGATGATGATCAACAGGTTCGGTTAAGCCTTATTGATGGTATCCCCATGTTTGGGTAGTCTGCAATCCCATGTATTATTGTTTAGTTGCAATTTTCTGGAGGCATACACCTGTGATACAAAACAAACAATTCTATTAATTAATTTGTTTGAATTTATATTTCAACAGTCTATGGCAGAGATGGTATTTCTGTTCAATGTATTATGCCATTCAAATTTGTTTTTTTGCTGAAACCATCAGATGATTGTTCTAGATATATAGTTTTTGTGCTTCCAATTTCATTTTGCAAAATATTGTATAGTATATTTGTTGGCCATTTCATATATACAAAAAATAATAAATTACTATCTTCATAAGTTGTAGAATGCATTTAGGTGCAATTGAATACAAATCTTGTTATTCCATTACGTATTCTGAACTCTTTTTTGCTGTTCTGAGGTCTTGTTTTAACATGGAAACTTGCCAAATCTTCAATGTACATTTTATGCAGCCATTTCATGTGATTTTATATTAGACTACATGGTAAAAGACTAATAATTTATTCTCTACCTTGTCCTTTGTTACTCACTGTAATTTCTTTTTGTCAGCACTTATCACAATTTAACCATGTTTTCCTTTGAGCCCATCACTCTTATTTTCAAATGTTTACTTTAAAACTTAACTGTTTTAAAACTATTTAAACTTACACAGGCTATTGCAGCAATGATGCGTGCACAGGAGGCTGACCCGACAAACTTGGAGGTGCTTCTTGCTCTTGGTGTTAGTCATACAAATGGTTAGTAATGGCTTCTGATTTATTGCCTGGATGAATAACAATAATAGCGACCTAGATTAAAGATCATTTGTCACATTAATCCTTGATGCTTGAGTTAATTTTATATGCACATTCCTACGCAGCTTTGGAATCCTTCTTCGGTGAAAATTTTAAAAGTTGGATATTTATTTAAATGCGCAAATATATTTGCTTTATTTTGTAATTGCTTGCTTTGGAGGGATTCTTATACTTCATTGTGTACTTGTCTTCTCTTTTACTGAATTTGTAACTGAAAGCATTGATGCAAATGACTTGTAGGTTTTTCCATTGTATTCCTAGATATAAAATATTGAGCTATCTGCTGATATTTGCAGAACTAGAGCAAACATCTGCACTGAAGTATCTATATGGATGGTTGCGCCATCACCCAAAATATGGAACACTTGCCCCGCCTGAGATGTCTGATTCTTTGTACTATGCTGATGTAAGTGGATTGATTACCTTGTTTGGGAATTGTGTAAGGGATTATTAAATACAGCAGTGGGCTGTAAAAGCCTCATGCATACATTGTTCATGTATTTGAAACGCCTTGTGGGGATGTGTTGTCTTTGCATGTTTTTTGGGTGTTTTGTGTAGTAATAAAAATGCAATCGACTAAACAACAACCACAACAACAATAATAATATAAGGAACTATTTAAAGCATACCATATAGTATAATAAACTAAACAATAATAGTAATAACAAAATTTTAAAATAGCAGCCATCCCACAATGTGCTTAACCTGTACCACTAGCATTTTTTAAGCCTGCCATTCTAGGCCTCTATCTGGGATTTGAAGTTGTTGTGTCAAAATAAGTCAAAGGGATAAGAATAAATCAAATCTCTAAATTGTGGTGACCGCATCTATCATTTCTAGTGATTGCTATTTCTTTATTTAACATGTATTACCTCTAGACTCATAAGAAAAAATTGCCATGTTAAGTGAACTTAAATATGAGCAAACTCCAACTTCCAAAGTTCTATTTAATGTATTATTTTCGAAAATACCAATATATTAATTCTAGGAACCATCTCCAATAAACATGATCTTAGTGAGTTTATGTCTAATTCAAGCTTACAAAACCGGTTTGTAAGATAAAGATTGAATCTCTTATATATTATAATCTAACCTTACTCTTAGTTAATGTGAGATCTCCAACATAATTCCTCATGCTGAGGAATGAATATCTTAAACGTGAAATTAGATGTTTGTGGGTGGTCTAACAGGAGCCTAATAACAATATCATGGAACTTGATTAGGACAAACTCTATATGGCTCTAATGCCATCTTAGTAAATGTGTTTATGTCTAATTCAACTTTACAAAATCGGCTTATAAAATGAAGATTGCACCCAATTTATATATTATAATTTGAATTTATTCCTAGTTGATGTAGAATTTCCAACATGTGATTAAGGATAATTTAGAAAATGTACTCCCATATTATATGAAAACAAGAATACTGAATGAACCACCATTCTTAATAGGTGTGAAATTAGTTATTTTTGCTTATATATGAGATGAAAGGGAGTATTAAATGATATCTAAGAATAGCAAAGATTGATTTTCCTTTCTGCAGGTTGCTAGGTTATTCAATGAAGCTGCTGAACTGTCTCCGGATGATGCAGATGTCCACATAGTTCTTGGGGTCATGTATAACTTATCCAGAGAATATGACAAAGCTATTGCATCTTTTGAAAGAGCACTGAAACTAAAGCCACAGGATTACTCATTATGGAACAAACTGGGTGCTACACAAGCAAATAGTATTCAAAGTGCTGATGCAATAATGGCTTACCAACAGGTGTTGTGTATAGAATTTAATGCTGCTATTGCTGTAGCCTATAGCTTTAATGTAGTTGGGTCAATCAAATGTAATTTGTGTCAAGATTTTCGGAAATCAAATGTGTGAGCATGACGGGGACGTTTATTCGAACTATAAGTTAGGGAGTTTATTATGTGTCTTTCCAAATCCTTGATTTTGCTTATTTGACGGTATATCACTAGCTCTTTAGTTATTTTCATGTACTGATATTTCCAGCTGCAAATGTATGAGTGAGTATTATGTATTTCCTTTGCATGTAACCAAAAAAAAAAATAGTTGTCGCAATAATATGAAGAAGACAGTCAAATGGTCTTTTATCCATTCTGTGCAAGTTAACTGCCTTTTCTATAATTGTATTGTAAAGTTTTGTTTTTGGAGTGAACGTGCAATCTATTTCTTTTAGTCAAATCTATTCTTTGTCGGGTGCAGTTCTCCCTTTGACTAAAACAATAATCATTTCAGGCACTGGATTTAAAGCCTAACTATGTTCGTGCTTGGGCAAATATGGGTATCAGTTATGCAAATCAGGTCAGTTCCCGGCTGGGCATTTATCTTATATGTATCGTACATATCAAGTTAGAAGTCGAATTTTGCTTGTCATTTCAGTTTTCACTATCTTTATGGTAACTGTATTATGCCATGCAAATGTAAAACTGTAGTATATTTGTTGTATGACAGCTATATCAGTAAAAAAAACTCAACTTTGATATGAATTTTTATTCTGGATTTCAATATTTTCTCCAAAGCATGGGGCAGTACATTGTACTGTTGGTGGGTGTACATTTGGATGCCCATCTATGCAGTATGTTGGAACATGTTAGGGGCGATTCTTTTTATTGTGGAATAATGAAGCATGTCAAATATTTTGGATAAATTTAGTTTCTGTTGTGGAGATATTATGGTGCAGTTGTTTGCCTTAATGGTTGGAGAAAGGCACCATTTCCATTATACTTGTTTGGAGAAAGCGAGAGGAAGATAGGATGAAAATACCTAACTTTTACTGTTTGAGAGGATAAAAAGAGAATGATTTTTGGGTGGGGTCCATATAAAATTTCCCAAAAGTTGAGTTGCTCTCAATTCTATAACAGATGTCAAAGATGGAGGAATGAAAATGACAGTTATTTAACTCTACCAATTTCCACTTTTCTATTTTTTGTCTAATTTGCTAAGTATATGTTGTATCTTAATTGTCATGATAAAACTAATTTACTGTACCTACCTTCCTTTCACACTTCCGACAGGGTATGTATGACGAGTCCATTCGATATTATGTTCGAGCACTTGCCATGAATCCAAAAGCAGAGAATGCATGGCAATATTTGAGAATTTCATTAAGGTAATGATATTATAATACATTATTAACAGAGAGAAGTATTGCAGGATTTTACTGACTAGAATTGTTCTCGTGACTTACCTTCTGTCTCATCCTATTTTCCAGCTGTGCTTCTAGGAATGACATGTTGGAAGCTTGTGATAGTCGTAATTTGGACCTTCTCCAGAAGGAGTTTCCTCTACAGTAAGGGTGCGTTTGAGTAAACAGTTTAATCAAGCTCTTTTGTAGAAGTTATTTTTATAATTGAAAACCTTTTAAATAAAAGCTATTTTTGTGTTTATTGGAGAGCTTATTAAAATAAGTTGAAAACAACTTATGGACATGTAATAAGCTGATTCTATGAGTTTTGACGAACACCACGCAAATTCTATTATCATAAATTTAATTAAGCTTCGAGTTTTTCTGAGTGGGTGAATTACAGGAGGGACTCTTCTACTGTCGAGGTGGTTGCTTGAACATGAATCCCAATTTTCCTTAATACTTTTGGATGAGTAAATGGTACATTTTCTGACATTAAAGCTCGCAGTAGATGTCTGCTTCCGTAGATATTTCTAGAAGAATTGAGAGGCGATCAAGTGACTAAGCCTGCAGGTGAATACGATGCATTATTCTATCAATCTTTGAACATATGGTGTATATTATGAAATAGGCACAGTTACAGACTCCATTTCTTAATGTTAGAAAAGTTACTTGTCAGAGAACAGCTGCATTATTAAAGTTAAGGAATGCGACGTTCCATAATAAAGTTGAGCTTATCGTGTATGTAGATAAATACAAGTATACAAGATTAATCACATATTATGTATCTAATTTGTCAAAACTATAAATAACTTAATGACCATCCCACTTTTTAATTAGCCTTTTTGTGAATTATACTGTATTAATTATCTCTATGTATTCAGCTCTCAAGGTTTAGAATTGTTTGGATAATCTTGTATATCAGTACTTGTACAACAAAAAAAGTTGTGTTCATCTGGTGATGTCAGCATGTGGATTACTCAAATGTCTTTTCGCTTAGTGAAAGACCAAAGCTGCACATACTCGATGTCTTTTGTCTTTGTTAAAGGCTAAATCTTCATACCAAATCTATCATGTAAGGTATGTTGATGTTCTTTAAGTTGGTTGTCACGAGTGTAAGACAACTCTTATTCTTTATTAAGGTTTGGAGGACCAACTACGATAACAATGGCGGAGTTAATGAAGAAGAAAATAATGAGGAATATCTATTAGGGGTCATGGATCATGGATGGGGTCTTAATTCTGTGCACTGTTCCTAAAAGTAATCGATATATGTTTTTAAGGAACCAATATTTGGTGGTTCACAAGACAGAACAATTCTTTGTTTTTTTTAGAACAAATTGATTTCTCTCTCTCTCTCTCTCTAAATATATATATGTGCATGTATGTAGAATACATATCTTTATCTATAAATGAAGCTTAGCATACTTCATCTTTATAAATGAAGCTTTTAACGTAGTCCATGTACTGGTGTTACGTATCTTCATCTTTTTAAAATCATTTAACTTGGAAGTTTTCAAGTAGTTATTTAACGTACTTATCTGTAATGAACTAGTTATTCAAACTGGCTACTTAAAAAATTCTTTATAGAGTTTTCGTCAGTATCATTAAAAAATTGCACTATGAACACAAGGACGGTAATTGCTTTCCGATCACGACTTGTCCCGAGTGCTTTGGGAGATCCAATGAAAAAGTACCAACCCTTATAATTGGTCATGAAGTATGGTAGAGATGGAATCAAAGGTTCTAACTGAAGAAAGATATGGTATTTGAGGGTGTCCATATGTTACCGACTTTCTATTTTTTTTTTTTGGAAACTCATTTTTGGATATTGATTCACATGTGTTACTTCTCTAAATGGCCTGATAAAAAAAAACCTTCTATATACATGTTATTGTTGGTAAATAAAAATAAGGAAGAGGCAAATAAGGGAGAAAAAGCGAGGAAGTAACCTTTCGTTTGAATAAATGGTAGTTTTATATTTCAAAGAATTACAAGCAAAAGTGAGGAATCTAAGATAATCCACCATTGCTTGAAGAACAATTTTGAATTCTCGGCTGTGTTTTTCCCAGTAATTATATCAACAAGTCGATATATGTTTTCATCTTTTATTCTATCTCTTACTTACGAAATTCAACGTAAAGGAGCCTCATGGTTTGGAAGCAGCAGCGGCAAGTTGGAGAAGGTGAGATGTTTAGTATACACAACTATTTGCCATTTTTTAATTCCAACAAAAAAAAATGAAACTGGTGTGTCAACTTTATTTTCCTTGTGCCGTTCCATTAACATTTTTTAATTCAAACATAAAACAATTGTATTTGCGTTGTCAACAGATCAATGGATCTTATGGTTAATAACTTTATTAACTTTCATATACACAATTATCGTAAGTTATACCAGCAATGATTTCTGATTGGGGTTGACAATGTGAAAAACATTCTAGTACCCATACACATCTAATGACTGTAGGGTAGATATGTACAAACAGTGGCATTCTGATTGTAAATTAATTATGTTGGTGGGTGGCTGTGTTGATCCCTGCATGCTGTGAAAGCAGAGTTCCTGCACTTTGTTTCTCTATCTGACGAAGAGGGGTTCTCTCTCTGATGTCGAAAGACAACTAATAGCTTTGCACATAATTGTGTACTTACTAACTAAATCCTTATACTCACTTAATAGCACGTCCACATCTCCAGCTGTTAGCCCTTTGCTCTTTGCTTCCATGTAAGGATAATTTGATCCATGTTGTAAAACTTGAAACACTGCAAGGTTTTACAGTAAAGGCAACAAGTATTTATAGAAACAGAAAAAATAAATCGACAAAATTAGAGAGTTCAATCAAATAAATCAAACTTCTTCGGTCTTAAATAAGTTAAGTGGCGGGATTTTTCAGAAGTTAAGTTACAGATTTTTTAAAAGAAAACATAAATATTTATTCTTTGTTTGATCTCTTAACATAAGTTAATTTTAACTTAGATATGTATTCATTAAAAGTTTATCAAAAATGACCGTGCCTGATTGGTATGGATTATTTTGATTGATCAAATACATTGTTTTGACTGAAAAAAAAAAATCAACTTCTTTAATGATGACAATAGTAAAAGTACCCTAACAACTAATTGTTTTTTTTTTTTAAAATAAACTAAACAGTTTCACTTACACATACTAAAAGAGACATAATTAAGAAAACAAGTTATTCTAACCTCCGGTAGCATCAGGTTTGTGGGGCATTTTCTCTGAGCAACTGCACTCGTTGTTCTGTTGCTGGCTCATTTGACATGTAGAGGATGATTCATTTGTGACTTTATTGATCAACTTGGCTGCTTGCATGCTCTCCTCAAATTTGATTTCGTCCATTGAAAGTGATTTGGCATTTAAGTCAACTATAAATGACGTTGCTGACACTAGATTTGTGTAATAATATTCAGCTTCTGATACGAGTTTTGCTTGCCTTCTGAACAACTTTATGAATTTGAGGTTAGAATGCAACTTTGGAGGATTTGCCTGAAAGTGACAAACCAAAAGGAATAAATCAATCACTGTCAAAAAGGGTAGTGTAAAGTGAAGCCTATAGCGACCAAAACTCAATGAAAGGAAAGTTCAAATTTAATCAAAAACACAATTTATAGGATCAAGACAATGTTACCGAAATCATGATGAGGATTTACCGTCATGGCTGTTACAACATATTTTCTTATCCTTTTTTTATTAAAAAATCATATGACTAAAGTTCTCTACATAGAACTAGTAAGTTGGACTGAAGCATTATGAGTTCTGTGTCTTCACATCTACTTTGACGTCAAATAATTTGCAAACAATTACTTCACTATTAGTGAAAACTCTTAGAATTTGATTTTTCCTATATCACTAGGTTATGTTGGATTTCCAACATACCATCATCTCACCATGGAAGATGTCAACAAACACCAAAAAAAGATTAAGATGTTATGTTAGAATTAGATACAAAGCATCTTCTACACTCTGTAATACTGTTATAATATAAGCGAAAAACTGTCTCGTTATTTTATCTTCAGGAATAAAATTTAAGTTTAATTCAATCTTAAAAAACCGTCTTGTAAGATAAATTCTACATCTATTTATATGTCAAGAGTTAGGTTTAAAGTCCACCCCTGGTATGAGAGTTTTTTAAAGTTTATTCTAATAAAACTTGTTGTTTGTTCAACCTATCGTACTACAGTTATCAAACCACTTATTAATATTTAGTTCCACATTGAAGATCATGTCTTTGTATGAGACAATATTAGAGATTCCACATCGATTAGAGATAGACAAATTTATAATATATAAATGAGTGTAAATTTCATCTTACAAATCGATTTTGTTGAGTTAGACTTAAATCTACCCTCTTAAGATCCTAAAATTATATTTGACACCCAGCAAAATGTCTTATTACCAAGAGGGCTTGCCTGATCGTAACATATATGAGCATAGGAAGAAAGTCATCTGCCCCAGCTGGAACATGCTCCGACATTGCAACATTTAATAACACATTGTTGATGACCCTGCAACAATTCAAAATGCTCAAGAGTTTCTCATGGGGAGCTTTGAAGGCATTGATTTTCAGCAATTCTTCTCTGCAAGCTAAGTGAAAAAGGAAAATGGTGTCAATACTTATAAATAGTTCTAATTTATAAGGCCTTTTATCTAAATTTTGGAATTGCATTAACTCTTTGCAATTTAAACTCCATTTCTTTCCAAAAATCCTCTGCTTGTCCTGTCACAGTTTTCACATAATATGTTGCTAAGGATTTCTCAAATCAAGAAACAATTATTCTACAAGTTTAATTTATCAAATGAAAACACATGAACAAACTTCATAATACCAGATTTTAACATTCCCCAACTTAATAGTCCTCTAAAACGCAAAGCATACACAATGCACACACTCACTCACCTTGTGTTGAAATTCTATATTTCATTACAATGGGAATTCTACAAATCAGTTGATTCTTAGAACTGTCATACTATTCCAACTTGTTAGTAACATTCATTTACAATAATGATTCTATATGCTTAATGTTTTCAAATTTTACTAAAAATCACATAAAAGACTTTTACATATTTTGGTAGAATGAATTATAGTTCTTTGTAATTTTAGTAGAATAAAGCATACCAGCAATGAGGCTTCAATTTGATGAATTGGCGGTATATCCAAATGTTCAGGCTTCAGAAAGGTTTGGAGCAAGCTTATTTTCTCAGAGATTTCATAGTCAATCTTTGCATCCTCAGGAGTAGCAGAAAATGTTCGAGAGAACAATTTAATCATTATATATTTTTCTAAACCCTGCAGATAAAATACATAGTGTAGTTATATTCATATACTAAATCAAAACATTCCTCCTCAATGATGTTACAACTAATGAATGGAGAAGCAAGTTGTTGTCATATGCATTGTTGTCTGTAAGGAAGAGAGACGAGAAAAAAGAAGAGAGATAAGCAACGTTGAACATGAAAAATTATAACTTACTACTACTTTTACTTCTTTGAACTAGTCTGAAATATTCTAAATTCCTCCTCTATCTTTGTAAAAAAAAGTATACTGTGATCCTCCATTTACAACATTTGTACCATAGGCCTCTCTTTTGATTTGTTATAGATTAAATTGATGTGTGTCTATAAGATTATGATTGTTATTTTGATGAAACGAACCTCCATGGCGCAATCATGTCTTCTTCAGAGGCTTGTTGTCCAAATGGATGATCTCGCATTCTGCTTTTCCATTGACAGAAAAAAATCTTGAGCTCTTTTCCCATCATTTTCAGGTTTCGGTGGGTAAAATGAAAATGATACTATAAAGCTGATAAAATTAATTTGCCAT